CCCCAAAACCCCAAAACCCCAAAACCCCAAAACCCCATAAAGCTCAAAATTATTTGAACTGATAATATAAATAAAAATGAATAAGTTAACCCAATTAGACGAAAATTTACCAGAAGAGTTCCTTGATGAGAATGCTTGAGCTTTAAATATCAACGTGTCTTTAAACATTGAGAGGAACATGTCAAGCTCTCCATTTAGAAGCAAGGCTACTTCTATGAGACAAATTCCACCAAGTGCCGCACAGTTTAATAGACGGGAGGTATGACCTAGATCGAGTAAGAAGACCTCTGGGACTACAAAACAGCTTAGTCCTTTCTCAGAAGACTTGCTGCCTGAGAAAATCAAATCTGAAGGCAAAATCCCTGCCTCAAGATTACAGAGTGATATTAAAAAGCTTTTGAAAATCGCTGTTCAAATGAGGAGTCAGTCCAATTCTTGCTCAGGAGTAGAGGAGACCCCAATTCCAGTCAAAGAGTGCAAACAGCCACCAAGATTGCAATTGGCTAAGGAGTTTACCATCCACGAAGTGCAGAGTGCCAAATGCTTCTCTGATTCTTCATAAATCTTAATTTATTCTCTAATTTCTTTTATGAAATTTTCTTAAAATTGGGGAATGCATAAATTTTCAGAGCAAAAAGTTCTTTACTTCAAGCTTTATAAAGTGAAAAGGATATTTTGCCACATTTCGCTAATTAAGAAATCTGACCCTACATAAACAGCTCCCACGGATTAATAAAAGGGAGATTGAAACTTTCAACAGTAAGAGCATGATCGTTGTCAAAATCTTCCAGATACTTGTATCCCTCCCTAGGCCACAACTGAGCCTGCTTTATGGCAAACAATCATTGCTAATCACTACACCATTCACACCAAAAACTCTGTAGTTCTTCTCAATAATCTTCATGCTCAATATAATCTGTACACCAAGAAATGTTAAGTCCATAACTGTATAAAATAATAAGCATGAATCTGAGTGCTAGATCATTCGAAAACATTCATTAGAAAGATTTCGCCCCAAGATTCTTCTCATAAGGCTACTCTTCAAAGCTGCTTCTCCCCTTATAGCACTTATCACGCTCAGTTCTCCTAAAGTACATTTCCATGAGTGAGAATAGACAGTTACGCAAAAAGTTAAGTAGTAGCTTGACCACTTTTATTCGATAAGTTCATGAAATAGAGGTTTTAGGAAAATCTAGTTTTCAGGAGATTAGTGAAATCGAACCGAAGTTTTCAATAAAATTTCTGTTAAAGGTACAATGGTACTGATATGATGTTAAGAGTTTTCTGAAATAATAGGAAATAGAGGAGGTAATTTACAGTTAAAGTTTACAATAGAGATAAGGTAGAAAGAGGAAAGAAGTATGCTTCCTTATATCAATTGTTAAATCCCTCTTTAAATTTCCCAAGTTCACATCAATTTAAAGAGGACCGAGATCTATCATAACTTTTGTCACTTTTCATATTTCAGAGAAAATTCTTCTCTAAGGCATCCTGAGAATCAGAATTTACTGATAGCAACTAAGATCTCAATTAAATAGCTTGACAGTCATTTTGCTGTGTTTCCAGTCATAAACCTGAAGGTTCAACTAGAAATAGCTGATTTTCTGGTATTCAACATCTTTTCAGTGTTTATTAACTTAGAATCAAACTAAATCTCCAATAAGGCTCTGAAATTATCACCAAATTATGAAATTTATTAAATAAAAATTTAGAAAGATGATTTGAGATAAACTCATAAAAGTGTTTCACACATTGGTATTTTATGCTCTTCATAAAATTGGCGAACTGCTAGCATCTAATGGCTCTGACACGTAAGAGTATATCCTCCTCTTAAGTCGTTTTCAATCTTCAACTTATTACATAATGTAATTTTTGATTTTGAAGGCTCAAGTTTTGGAGAACTGTTAGCAGCACACAATAAATTCTTACAGTGACATTCCTAATTCCCTTCCTATGCTAACCCTGATGCTACATGCCTGATATAATTAGGGCTTGAAAATGGCAGATAGATACCAATTTGAGATACTTCAGCTTGTATAGACCTCTCTAGAAATACAATCATTTCCTAGTCAACCTTAAAGTAGCCGATAACGCTCACCAATATATATTCAAAATCATATCTGGAAAGTATGAAGGTGAGGTCTCTCATTCTAAGAGTCTTTTAGGATAATCACCAGGGTATATAGAACAGGGGATACTCAAGCTCGAGAGATACTAAACTGAAGTTTTTTTTAACTTTTCAATCAGCAATTCATCAGAGAAATTAGCTCTCAAATTGAGATGTTGAGTGTAAAAATCGTAATTAATATGGACTTTAATACCAAGCAGTCCCTTCTTAGTTTAGGGAAGCGCTTGTTTGAAAATTATGTTATTCAATAAATTAATAAGCTATGCTTGCCGGGAAATTCATCACGAAACCGATGATCATCCATCTGGTGAGCAGGTATTATTAGGAAATCCAATAAGCCGATTCTGACTAATAAGAATAATTCGGGTAGTAAAAGTGTACTGATAGCATAATTTTCAATTCCTATGCTTACCCAGTACGCTCAAACTCACTACTCTTCTTACAGATTTGAAAAATACTATTCAGAGAGTAAAATTAAGAATTTTATGAATTGTTTTTCTCCCGCAATTATGAATTTTCGGTTCTATTATTGCTCAAAACTTCATATACTATTATATTCAGAAGTTTCAACTTAGTCTTCAAAGCCCGGGGTTTTGGGGTTTTGGGGTTTTGGGGTTTTGGGG